GACCATTAGCTAGTTAGCAATCTTCACGGTGTTTTGGTCGTCAAGGACGATAATTGATAATATGGTCTCTCATCTGAGATCCTGCACATGATAAAGTATGCCAAAAAAAAACTGCAATGAAGATATAAAACAGGATTCATCGCTTTCATAGTCACTCCATCAACTGCTGGGGGGAAGAGGATGGAGTGGTTAACCTTCAAAACGTGTCAAATTCTGAGTCAGAGGCATTATTTATCTTAATAATGATAAGCTTAATTTAGCACCTCTTCAATCAGCCCACAAAACTCAGAGATGTTAAATGAAAATGTGTGCGTTCGGTCTTTGATCACTCAGGGAGCAGAACAAAAGTTTGCCTATTACGTTCCCGGGCAGCCGTCTGGTGGAATTTAAGGAATGACACCGCGTCTTGATTTCACAAAGGTTGCAACAGATGTTCTTTCTGTCAGCGGCTGACATTCACTGCATTACTAAACAACATATTCATTTGGAGAGGAGGGAAGTGTCAGCAGGGCCTTGGTGTCTTCTGCTGTGCTGTGGATCACTACCGCCCCCTACTGGCACTCTGAAGAAGGAAGGAAGAACTGACAGATTCAAACTGAAATCAAATTATTCTAAGGAAAGAAATTTTGGGAAACTATTAGTTTTCATGAAGCTAAACTACAGGTGAAAATCAACATGTTTAAACCTTAAACTAACATTCTAGCTATGCGTGCAGCAAAGCTCCCGTCACGTTACTATTTCTCATCTTTCCGCCAATTTTTCCATCGCAGCCCGAGCAAAAGTTAGAAGGAATGATGAAGAGCACCCCGCCACCCGGTCCTCACCTCTCCTGCAGCTCATCTCCTCACCATGAACAGACAGATCCGTCCCCGCCACCGCTAATGGCGGGGACATTATTCATCTCTCCAGCCAATTTTAGCCCTTTCTTCTTTCAGGAATAGACGCACGGAGGGTTGAGAGGAGTCAGCGAGGAGTATTAAATATGTAGAGGAAGATGGACAAAGGAGCAGCGGAATAAAAAGAGGGCACAGGTGGGAGAAGATGGAATGAAGAAGGACAGGGAAGCGTGAGACGGAATTAGCCAGCAACATGAGCTAACTAGCCAGTTACCGGTGAAGTTGTTTGTGCATCTTTGCAAGAACGTGACAAAAATATGTGGAATTGGGGGAGAAATAGAGAAATAACACTGCAGGATAAACTGTAGAGTCAGGTCCCAGGAGGTTCAGTGCCTGCAAATCTGCAAAATGGGGTTTCAATTTCTCTCCATGCAGCTGAAGTCCGTCAGTGGGAGGATGTATATGTCGAGTGGCCTCGGCAGGAGGACTAATATAAAGAAGAGGGTGATTAAGGGCATCTTACTGCGAGAGGACGGATCAATACGTGATATCAGCACGTTTTAATTCCACATAAACCTTTACCAACTTCACAATGTCACTCCGTGTTCATAAAAGTCCCCCACACACACACCGCCTTGAACAAAAAGAGATAAATCCATCAAAAAGTCTTCTCAGTTTTATAGCTGTTCCCCGTCTCTCACCCCCTCCTCCCTTCCTCCTCCTCATCTCCATTTTGATGTCTGTCTATTAGCAGAGGGTGAGGCCTTTCCTGCTCTCCCATCCAGGGGCTAAATTAGCTCAATCAGCCCTCTTTCACCTCTCTTCCGTGGGCTTCAAGCTGAGTGACACACTGCTCCCCAGGGATCCAAGGAAGACTCACACACACATCAAGCCCAGCAGCTATGCAGAGGTGTGTGTGTGTGTTGGGGTGGCAGCTTTCAGAGAGCAAGATGAGGAAGAACAAGGATGAAAAGGAAGATCGGTTAGAGCAGAGGACCAAGTTGCCTCGGTCCAGTGGAGGTTTCAGCTTCTTGTTCATTTCCTGTTCAACTTTTTTTCATTATTTCACTTCTTCTTCCTTGTTCCTCGTGGGGCAAACGAGAAACTCAAGGTGTTACACCAAATCCACTTCAAAAGGTTTTTTAAAAAAAAGAGTCCATCCCTGGGAACATGGACGTAATTTTCACTTTAGAAGTGGGGGGGGACACGGGGGGGGGGGGGGGGGGGGGGATCTTTACAGTATGCTCTAATGGGAAACAGGCTTCAAGCCAAACAGTTGTTTTCCGCTTGGTCCTAGAGCCCAACCAGTGTCAATTTAATATAGAGTAATATAGTTTTTGGATGGTAAAAAGTGCAGGGGTCAAAACTTGACTTTGGAAAAAGTGTGGGGGGGGGGGACATGTCCCCCCTGTCCCCCCCCAAAATTACGTCCATGCCTGGGAAGAAGAGGCTACTTCACAAAGTGCCTCCTCTTTACTCAACCTCCAGCGCTCTCAGCCGGAGTCGGAGTCCGCTTCCCTGTGCCAACTTTTCTTAAATTGCGCCTTCATGTTTGATTTGTCTCGACCCTTCCCCTCTTTCCCTCTCACTAAACATCCACCTAAGTATCTGTGGAAGTGCAAGGCAGGCAGTTCTACAGCAGTAATAGCAAAACGTGGGTGTGTGCCTCGGGAGGAGGAAAGATGGGCAAAAAGGTGGCGATCAGAGTGAGCCATAAGATCTACTCTTTGCAGCTCTACAGGGATTTATTAGGCCGGGAAGTACATTAGCATCATAAAGACCCAGGAGAATAGGCCCGTGGATGGGCTGCTGACACCATCTCTGCACTCCAACATGCTTGGCGGTATCGCTGTGCATGTGTGTGTGTGTGCATGTGTGTGTGTGCGTGTGTGTGAACAAGGGAAGAGATTACCCTGATTTAACTTAAGAAAGGCAGTTATACGTTTTATGGAACATCCCAGAGCAGTGCTGGACTAATACATCAGGAGATGATGGAAGGAGCTGCGCAAGAGGAGAAAATACTCTAACAAAGGAAGGTGGCTGAGAATTTGTCTCTGGAAATAAAAAAACAGAATCACATCACTAAACTAAGGCCTAGTCCACACGTAGCCGGGTTTTTAAAAACGAATATCCGCCCCTCCAAAAACTTGCATCCACACCACCTCGTTTAAAAATAAAACTGTCCACACGTACCCGGATAAATATGTTGTTAAGGACATGCCAGACCTGTAGGCGGCAGTACTTCCCCCGTTCTTAACCTCGTTCTTCGTCTGCGGTCTTCCGCAAGGAGCAGTAATTCCGCTTGCAAAAACAAACAAGCAAAAAGCGCTTGGACCATTGATAAAGCGAGCGCAGCTCTGAGGGCATCCATGCTGTCGGCTAGTGTAAACACAGGTCGCACACGTGATGTCAGCATTTTTTGTTGCGGAAAGTGACGTTGCGGGCCTTAAAACTCTGGTTTTGTCTGTCCACACGCAGACACCCAAAACAGAGAAAACGCAGATCTTCACTTTGGCCGGAGTTTTTAAAAAGATCCGTTTTCGTGTGAAAAAACTCCGTTTTCGTGTGGATGACAGGCCAAAACGTAGAAAAATATCTACGTTTTGGCAGATCCCCGGCTACGTGTGGACAGGGCCTAAAACCAGTTGATTCCATCATTAAGATGTGCTCTCATCACTTTTGGCTTTGGGGGAGTTTCAAGTTTACTTTTAGGACTGAAGTTTTGAGTGAGAACTAAAGCTAAAGTAAATATTAGTTATTAAAGAAAAACTAATGAAGGTTCATTTCTCATCGGCTCAGAACTTCTCTGGCTGCTGTGATGGTGGCGCTCAAAGAGAAGGAGCATTTTCTGTAGTGTAGATCTTTAATGCTCTCTGGTGGACATGTGGTATAACAGCATGTTATAACTGCTTCTGATGGGTTTTATTTTATTTATTTATTTTTTACCTATTTGCACCTTTTTTGTGCAACAATTCTCGAACTATGCACAATACCTTTTTTTTCCAGGAACTTAAATATTCCTATATTTCAAACTAATCTCAATCAAAAATGTCTAAAAACTATTTTCCCTGAACTTTGGCAGTTTTTGTTGTTTGGTCTACTTGAACATCCTTCAAAAGGATTTTTGAGTCACTTTACTTTGACCTGTGAGTCACTCAGACATAAAAGAGTCCTAAACTCCACAGACGAGTCAGCATTTTATCCAGACAGATAAAAGCAGGTTTAAACTGGATCTCCTGGCTCGTTCTTACCTGTTTTTGGTGTCTGCAGGTCTGGCTGCACCTTGCAGGTCTTGGTGCAGCAGGTCAGACCTAGAACACACAAATATCTCACTGCTGCTCATGGATCCAAGATGCAAGCATAACCTGATTCACAAATAAGTCTTAAATTAAAAGCTCTGAAACTTAATCCATGTGTTATTTATTTTAAGGATAAATCACATCAAATGTTTGAATCTGAGAGAAACAATCTGCATTTTCTGATTTTGATTTCAAATCCTTGCCTTTGTTGCAGTGTGCATTTCTGTGTCTGACTTGCTTTATAATTTAGATTTAAATCTCGTTTTTATGTTGAGAACCATTTGAAACAGATTTGAGCAAACAGCAATGACACTACAGTAAAGGGTCGTTCAAGGGTCGACTGGAGCTTTTCCTGTTTCGGGCCTTTATTGAATTCTTTCAGAGGTCTTTTAGGCCCGACTGCTCTTTTACTCTCTATTTTTTATTTTCAAACACACACATGTTCAACAATTTACAACAGTTGTTTCATCTCTTGGAGCATTTCATTAAGGCATTGCCTTTTTCCAATAAATAAATATTTAATTTTAACCCCTCCTCCACTTTCTATTTGGAAAATCTATAAAAATGCAGATTTCTAAACCCAAGATGACTTTGCTTCACTCCAAAGTTTGTTTTCCATGTTTGCTCACTGAATTCTTTTTCCACATCTTATGTTGGAGTTTAGACCTCATGAACAAATCAGTGATGTTACAAGATAATTTACATTTTTCCATAATTACGCAAAAATGTATTTTTCTGGTTCTACTTTGACCTCCTTCCGCAGAATAAAGCAAAAACAGGATGGAAACAAGAGGCTTATTTTCGTAACTGTAATCTATACAGACACACACGAACAAAAAAAAAAACTGCCAATCAAGAGAACAAATTCAGGTTAAACATTTTATTTCTTTATTTTTTTAGTAGATTCAGAGCCACTTGTTCCTGTGTGGTTGCTCTGCGGTGTGCCCTGGAGGAGCTCTTTGGAGTGTCGGCTGGAGTGACTGAGCAAAGAAGAAAGGCACAAGTCTTTACAACAAACACAGAGTCAGTGGTACAACGCCAGACAACCACAAAACACTAGCTCAGTTTCAGTCAAATCAGTCATCTTCCAGTCTCCATGGAAACCAAAGATGGGATGATGGGGGAAGAAGGCGGGGCTAAAACACTGATTTACTTCAATCTGACCAGAACTGCTGCGATAAGCCCTACATTCATCAACTTAGAAATCAGATCACTGAATCACACATGATCTACCTCCAAAATTCTACGTTTACGAAAAATGAAATTCCAATTATATAAAAACTGTATTCCAAATGTACATAATCTCTTCCGTTTTCAAATAAATGTTTAAAAACCCCACTCAAGTTTTCCTTTTCGTCCTCTTATGAGACAATGGCGCTTTTACAACGTCCTTCCTAAAAAATGGTTTAGAGATGAGTGGATGGTTCTGGAATAATATTGCAACAGAACTAAATGAACAAATACAAATAAAATACATTTAAGTGGCTTAGTGGCATATGACATCTGAAATAAATCCAAGTCCATGTACAAAGGCTAAACAAGACAGATTCCAGTGCTTTGGGAAACAACAAACTCTAAAATAAAAACATGAAAAAACACAAATCCAAAACATAATAATAATAATCACCAAGAATTTTTTTATCAGTTGTGATCAAAAACTACAAATAAAAGTCAAATCCCAGGTTTGAACACCAACAGGTTCACCACCACCTGCTGCAGCTATCAATGTGACAGCTGGAGCCTGATTTATCTTCATGTGACACCAGACCTGAGCTTCACCTCTGCAAAATCTGGCTGCTTTAACTCAAATCACGAGGGAGGAGATGGAAACCATCAGCAGGCTGGTCTGGGAACAGCCGCGGGGCTGAACATAACCGAGAGCGCTACAGAGCACACACATGTGACACGTGTTGACGTCTACAAATACCAGTGTTCAAACGCTGTACTGTTACCATGAACATGACAACAAACACAGATCCTAACCCCTCCGTTTGTCCGTCATCCTGCTCACAAACCTGACAAAGAAGAGGAACATCCCATCATTTAACTAAAGCTGAAAAAATAACCTGCTAACTGCATTTAAAGAGCAAGAAAGGAAGTGAATAACCTCCAACATTAAAAATAATAATCATGAACGGAGAAGAAAAAAAGCAGCTGCATGAATCAAAAGGGCACATGCAGATTAGACTTATGGCTCTAAAACTGTTGGGATTAATATCTGGGATTCTGGATTATTCCTGCTTCTGTTACAGTACCTGAGAATTTCTGAGACTTCCGTTAGGTTTTCTGGACAAAGATTCAGCAGCATCTTTGAGATGACAACATCAATAAGGTGTTTTTTCTGTGCAGACGTTTGTGAAGCCGGGTAAGTCCGGGGCGAGGTCGGAGCGGATCTCCGTCAGCAGCTAATGCGTGAGGCTAAAGCAGAATGTGGAACAACACCGCAACGTGAGTCCTTAATGGAGAATTACACATGCAGGACCATGACGCTATTCTCATTTTATTAACCATCGTTCATTCTATCATTTATGGTTATTAAAAGGGGTTGTGTGCGTGTGTGCGTGTGTGTGTGCGGGGGACAGCTATGATGTGAGGTGATGCAATTGTGTGTCCTTGTATCTGCTGATGCTGTTAGCTGTTCCTTTATGATTAAGAGACCTGTTCATGTCCTGGCTCACAACTAATACACGCTCAGTCTGCTGGGTATTTAACCTAAAAGGCACATGTGTGTGTGTGTGTGTGCGTATGAGAGTGTGTCTTTAATGTGCGTCTACATTATGTCTCCATCATCTATGCTAAAGCTGGATCTGCGACTTGAGTCGACGGAGGCCTCAGGTGATACAGCAGACAGCAGAGGGTCTCTACCTATCGGGGACAAAGGCTCGTCCATCATCAGGAAGCCTAGCTCGCCCCTCTTCCCCTGGAGATCCAGTCCGCCGAGGTCACCCAGCCCCGACATGCCGTCGGAGAACCCAGGGATCCCATCGCACAAGTCCATTGAGTGGGCAAAGTCAAAGGGCTGAGAGCTGCCCACAGCTGGGAACTGGATGGGCTGCTGGGGTGGGAGGTGCTGTGGGAGTGGTGGGAGCTGCTGCCTGGGAGGAGGCAGGGCTTGCCCATGAGGGTGAAGGTTGTTCTGGGGGAGGAAGTGGTGCTGCTGGGCCTGGGGGTGAACCTGGTTGTGGGCTAGGTGCTGGTGCTGGAGGTGTGCTTGCTGCTGGAGGTGAGAGAGGTTCTCCTCTTGACTGGTTTCTTGTTTTATGTAAGGAGGCATCATCTCAGCCAGATTCAGACCAGAGGGAGAGTTGCTGGGTATGCCATGCAGACGAGCCTGCATCTCCAGCTCCTGTTGGCACAGACCAACACCATCACCATCGTTATCCTCGCTGTGCTCCTGCACAAGCTGTTGAAGAAGTAAGTGTGTTACCTGGATGCGTAGCAATAGCTGTTTGTTGGCCATCTCCATCCTTTTGAAGTTATTCTCCACTTCTCTGGACCTCTGAACATCCTTCTGCATGCGCTTGATGTAATCTACAGATGCTCGCAAGATGGTGCCTTTGTTCCAGCGCACATCACTGCAAAGAGAAAAACACACAGGCATGAGCATCCTGCAACAAAGCGCCTTCAGATTTACAGTAAAGTCAAAGTAGCTCACAGGTCATTGGTTTTGGGAATCATGGTGCCCAGCTCTTTGATTCGATCGTTAATGTTGAATCTTCTCCTCCGTTCAACTGTTGCAAAAAAAGGGACAAAGTATAAAAAAAGGAGAAAAAATCTGCAGCTAAAAGTTCAGTTTGCAGGTAAAATGCATTCTAGGGCTAAATTAATTATAAAGATCAGAAAAAAGGGTCAACATTTAGGTGCGCGCACACACACACACACACACACAGTCACAGGCAATTGCTCTTAAAGTGCTACGACAGCAGAAATGATCAAGTTAAATATCCACTCACTTGTACTGTCAGCTGAATCAGCTCTAAGCTATATAAAGCTGTTTTTGCAAGACAAACTGCAGTGTGTGTGTGTGTGTGTGTGTGTGTGTGTGTTTCCACAGATAATTTACTCTACAGCAGCGATAAAGTAAAAGCTTGTGGAAAAGGAAGTTGTAAAGTCTAAATGCAGAGACTTACTGAGATTGTGGTTGTCTTTTTTCTGTCTCTCCTTGGCCAATGCACGGGCTTCTGTGTCTTTGCAATGACAAAAAATGATTAACCAACGGCTGACAAAGTACCATGGCTCAAAAGCAAAATAAAACTGCCAAATAGCAGTTCGATTCTGCATCATTTATCCGATTTTTGGTTTAAAAAAATACAAAATACTCCGATCTTTCGAGTCCGCACCTGACAGTTCTCGCTTGATGGTCAAGTTTGCAGGACAGGAGTTACTCGTCATGGCTATAGCTGGCCCCTTCATCCCAGGACCTGTGTACACGTCCAGGTGACTGCTTGAAAGTGGGAGCTGGGGAGGAAGAACACATGAAGCAATGCAGTTAAAAATTAAAGTTAAGGAAAGTCCTCTAAACGAACAAGTACCTTCGTTTGTTTTATACAATTTGTTTTATAGACAGTTTTATGCACCTTGTTAAGTCTTTTTATGAAGTCAGCATTCCTGTTTATTGCACCGTAAAGAGCACATAGCTGGAGATAATGCAAAAACATCACACCTGAAGACAGTTTGTCAAGCTCACAGCAATGATTGACAATCACACAATCTGCCTTATCAGTCTTTATGACCCGCCTCCCTCCAGCTACTGAAATAACGCTGGTAGTGCGCTCCAAACTCCAACGCTGTGCACTTTAGACGTTGTAAAACAACTGTAATTTAGGTTTCTATGGACTCCAAAAACAATTTGATTTCCCCTTAATTGGGTAGGTCAATGACTGTGATGGGCGTTTAACGTGTGTCGAGCAGCCGTGTCACACTCCCTGAATCAAGGGCAAACACGGCTAATGAGGCCTGAAAGATAAAGAGCCCAGCGGAGAAGATAAGTTCATGTGGAAGCTACTGTGAGATAAAACACAGATCTCTATTAATGCCAAAGATGACGTGTTGGGAGTGGATCCTCAGTCATCAGGAACAGGTCCAACTGAACGGAAAAGGACTTCTTTTTCAGGACATGAAGATTTTTTGCTTCTCACCTGAGGAGCTTTCTCCAGGACTGAGAAATCTTCAACAATAAGACGCCAAGAATGCTAAACAAGTCCAGCTGGCTTTGATAAAATGCTAGGGTTACATCGAGCAGGACTACGCAATTCTCCAACAGAACATACAAAAGCAACTGGACTCAATTGGGAAAATGATAAGCAAAATGGTTAAATCAAGAAATTAAGCCCAATAATCTTTTCTTTTTTTTAACAAAACTCCTGGAACACACCTGGCTTCAATCTCATCCGTACACAACTGTCAGGTTTTTATTCTGCTTTCAGCCCCCGAGGTGCTGAAAGTGATGCTGCATCCTAGGTGTCTAAAATATTTTCAATATTTGTTTTCAGAGATCAACTTTGATGCTGTTGAAGGTTAAAGCCCCGTGTGACATCATAGATGGTAAAACTCCAGGCCCCCCGCCTCCTTCATGCTCCAGCACTGACCAAGTCCAGTAGGAGTTCATTCAAGTAATCAGTAAGTTATTCTGACTAGTACTTAGTGTTTCGTCCTCATGCAGACATGCACACACAGTCTGAAGTACTCCCATGTGCCTGGTGTCCCCGACTCTTACTAAACTTTGAGATTCCAAGAATTCCATGGAATTTGCTGCTTTAATCGCCGTCAGGATTAGCAGGTGAGTTTCATTCACTGTTCTGACAGTAAAGGGGAGTAAAGGGAGCGAAGCTGGAAATTTCCAGCAGCACGGTTAACGTTGCGATCGGCACATCAAGTCTCTGTCTGTATCGCGTAAGGAACTAACTTTTAAAACACTGTTGACCCTTGGATTGATTAGTGCAGGGTGCCCAATCTAATCAAGCACAAAGACAAACGTTAAAGGATTGAACCAATCAAGCACACAGAGCTGAGAGTAAAGCACCAAGGAAAGGTCACATCTACCACAGACATGCAGCAGTGGAAGCTGGATGTTGAGTTAAACACACAATCTCAATAAAAGTGCAGAAACGTCCCGCTGCAGGCCATAGCAACAAATGTGTTAGAAAATGAAACCCACCAACCATCTCCTCTGCTGTGGTTCCTCTTTTAATCAGAGACCGAGGGTGGAACTAAAGAGCTGCTGCAGCAGCTGTCATAACTGGTTCAAACCACTAACGGCCTGGGAAAATAGACGTGTAGACACCTACCCCAATTACAAATCAAAAGTCTGCTTACCAGCTGAATCTGTTCTCCTTCAATAACTTCCACAATGGCATACGTCTTATTCATCTCCTTCATCCTATCCTCCGAGCCTCACAAGACCAGTGGAGGACTTCAACTTCCTTCTGCTCAGCTCTCTGGCACGGCTGCCCCAGCACTGGGGGAATGACCTCAGCAACACCGCTCCAGTCTGTCTTCTACCTCCACTCTCCACCAAACAGGAGTGAACTTTCCCCTTACTGGACTTTCAGCCTGTTTTCCCCCTTCAAAAAATGTTCCTCGTCCTAACCCCCCACCCCTCTCTCTCTCCCTCTCTTTCCCTCCTCCCTTGCTTTTTTCCCCCCACCTCCCGCTCTCCAAATATCTTGTAAACAAGTTGAACTCTAACTAGTGGCAGCTTAATTGTTAATTTTCTGAGTGCGTTCCCTCAGACACAAAGCACAGCACAGTTCTTCTCTTCAGTTTCTAACTCTGTCCAACAGGGTTCAGGGTTGGAATTTTTACAGTTTAAGTCAATTAAACACGCTGCTTTGTGCATTTTGATGTCATTCGTCCATGCGTTTCAGTAGATGGCCAGATGAAGACATAACTAATCGCTTATAGAATCAGAAAGTGGATGAAACAAGATTCAACGGATGGTTTAAAACATGACCTCGCTGATTTAACAGAACTAGTGAATGACTTAAGTAGTTAGCAGTTTAGTTTGAGAAAGACAAAAGAACATATGTGAATTAAAACACCCTTTATCATTGAGAGAAATGTTATAATGGCTGATTTAGACTGAGTGCCTAAATTATTAATTTCATCTAACAAAAGCATGATGCATGTCATTTTTGCTTATGCATAACAAAATTTATCCAACTTATATTTTTATGTAACTTTTGAAATGAATATTATAAATAAAGATGCAGATGCATTACCATAATTACTTAATTAAGGATATATTATGACTCACAATTTGAAGATATAACAGTTATAGTTGACATAAAACATGTTTATGAAGTTCTTTGCACAAAATCCCGCTCACATGAAACAATATCAGAATTTTTGTTCTCGACATTTTCAGTCATTTCCAAAATGAGCCATTTCAGGGCTCGGTCATTTTAACAAAACAAGCTGGAGCTGGCCACGCTCACCCTGCTCAGGCAGCTATAAGCTGAGAAGCTCCGGGAGGGGCTCGGAGTAGAGCTGCTGCTCCTCCAGCTTGGCAAGGTGAGAGGTGGTTCCATGCACATTTTCCCAATTTTGACATCACAAAATGGGACTTATGAAATGACTCATAGGTACACTAATCCTTCACCAAACATCGACAGAAAAGAGACGGACTTTTTTTTCCCACATTCGGAGTGTTTATAGAGATATCAGAGAACTAGTTTTGCTTAATAGGCTCCCTTTAAATTGGACCTTTAGCTAGTTAACGAGCTAAAGTACTAGATAGTGACAATGCAGCTGCTTGACACAAAAACAGTTTGTTCCCATTTCTTTTGATGATTCTTCAAAGACAATTCAGGAAAATGCAGCTTTAAGACATAAAACAGTATTTTATCACCAACAGATTCCCAAATAACTGTGACTGAAAGCTGTTCTGCTGAAGGCTCCTGCAGCTCTCAGGTCTTGTTTCAGGTTTTCTCTTGGACGAATTAAACTATTGATCAAAAACACTTTAAAGGATTTCAAAGAAAGAGTTCAAGGAAAGTAAAAATAAAGTGAGGGCATTTAAAACTTGAATAGGCTAACAACTTGAAACTTTAAAACCAGCTAAAATACAGACACAATTCCTCATGGGTAGGGGCGGGCAGTCGCTTTCACGAGGATACCTGTTTTTTTTTTTTCTTGCTTGGTTAAAACATATATCATGATGTGCTAATTAGATTATGTCAACACATCCTTATGCTCGCGTGGGTCAAGTGGTACAGACTTATTAAAGTTCTGACGGCAAACATGGCTGGAACCGGAAGTAGGGAAAGTTTCATGGTAGTTCAGTGGTAATTTGGCCAGTGTAGGTCCCCGTACATGCTACCTGGTCACCCGGGTGGGCTCAGCCCGTCTCGCCACAGAAACAGAACAGAGAGGCATGTGAAGCAGCAGCTAGCGGTGGTAAGGCACACCTGCAAACTCTGGAAATTCAGCTTCATTAACACAAACGTGACCTGCCCCTGATAGCCTACCGCTTCTACTTTAGACGCGAGGCGCTTTTATTTTGCTGCATCACATTTTCTATTTGACGACCCGGAAAAGCTTCGTCCACTTGTGGTAAAGCGCTGCAAACGGAGGTGGGTTGGGGGTGGCAGATTTACCAAATCAAGTCTGCCCATCAAACTTTATTGAACTCTGGACACAAACAGTGTCCACCACCTGCTTTCTCCTGCTCGTCCCTGTGACGTCATCTCTTCCTTTAGTAATTCTTAAACATTGACTACAAAACACAGTAACACCTAATTTTGCCCATGAATAATCATGAATTGAGTTTTCAATAAAAAGATGAGTAAAACCAGTTAAAGATCTTGCAAAAGCACTCAGTGCTCTGCAGAACCACTTTTGTTATATTTGTGAGAGATAAAGTTACAATTTCAATTCTGGCTGCTGTTTAAATATCCTTTCACTTTATTATATCACACTTTTAGGGGTTAGTAAACATGGTTAGAATTGATATTTGGAATTCAGAAAAATGAAGAGAAAAAGTAGAATTTGGTAAAAAAAAAACTGATTTGATAGAGCCCTATTGCATTTTCTTTTATTTTGTTATATCAACAGATTTATCGTTCTCATCAAAATGCTCAGAAATATTGTGATACATTTTTGGCCATATTGTCCACCCACATATGCACCAGAAATGCCCTCTTCTTCTTCTGATTTCACGAGCTGCGGTGTGCACGAGCGGTATAAGCATACCCTTAAATCATGTCTGTGGTGGGTTGGTTCTACTTACTGTGTTTGGCATCTCTACAGGATCCATGTACGCATGTATATCGTCATAACTGGACTGCATACTTATAATGTTATCAATGACTTCATCCATCTGAAACACAAAACAAATCTTTTCTAAACAAAAGAACTTCATAAGTCAGTTCAATTCACATTTAATGATCTCATTTTTACAACGTTCAAGTATAAAAATGCTGACACACACAAATTTGATTAAAATCCCAGACACCTGGTGGCATTTAGAGGCTTAAAACACTGGATTCTCACTTACAGGACTGACTTGCTGGACTATTTTCCCGTATTGAGACGGGGAGAAGAGAAGTTGCTCATTGAATGCAGAGAGTTGGTCAAAGTCTTCTAGGTTCAAAGGCCTCTGCATTCTGCTGTTTCTGTCACTTGTTAAGCTGTAATTACTGCTGGAAGGTCATTATGGAGCATTTAAAATCCACTAATTGTCACTTTCAGTTACTGCCAGTTAGTCACTGCTTTCTTCCACACACATTAACACGGCTTCACTCTCAGATGCTGCCACGCAGCCTGCCAAAGAACAATTAAACCATTACGACGCTTTAATAAAATGTGGAGATCACCTCGCTTTCTGGGTAATTTTCAACCCTCATAAACCCACACATAGGAACAGTTTAGTTACACATTTTGGTGTTATTTGTCAAGCCTAGCTCTTGTAAATGGAGCTTTACAACAAGCCCAAAGGCTTAATGTTTATGGGTTTATGTCCGTGCCACGGTTTGTGCACGCTTTGTGCGCACCCACCTCCTTCTCGTGGCTGGAGTCAATGTTGAGCATGGCCATGGGGCTGTTGGGGGCGCTGTTGCCAGACATGAGCTGCTCTTTCCGTAAGAGTGGGGAGTGGAGGGGCTGGGGAGCAGGTGCTGATCCCCCTGCAGGTACCATGTTTGTGGGAGGAGATGGGGGTACGACTCCTGCTACTGCGTGGACCGTCTAAAGGACAATGAAAGAGTTATTCAATAACAATGTTCTTCAGTACCATAAGAATCTTGACCAAGCCATTATACAGCAGAGAAATGAGCATACCTGTTTGGTGGCATAGGTGGTGGAGAGATATTCCTTCACTTGCTGCCTCCTTGACTGACGTATGTGATAGTCTGTTGGATTCTCAAGGTGGGTTTGCACCTGTTTGATGTAAATACAATTTAGACATGTCAGCATTTATCTTTTGATTATTCCAAACCACAAATGGCACGAGAAAAAGACAAGAATTTACTAGTAATTAAACATATTTCACTATGTGAAACGTCCAATTCAGATAAGCAGCTTCCTCAAACACAAGCCAGAAATATTTGATGGTACCATTTCAGGTAACTCTCATACCCCGTGTTGCCAAATGTTTTTGACCGAAAGTAGCTGAAGTTCCCCCCAAAAGTCGCTAGATGTCACCAGATGACGTCAGATGCTAATTTGCATACAGCGCAATGACGTCATCTGGTTTGTGTGAAGACGTCGCCACGTTTGCGTCATGACCACACCGGTCTTGTAGAGTAAATCAAATGAAACCCACGTGATTTGATTAAAAAAAACTATTTAATTTATTTTTTAATATTTTATTAAAATAAAAACCCCATAGAATACAAAACAGCAGCCTTTAAAACATCAAGGAAAGATGGCACAAACTATGGAAGGAATATTTCTATTTTGTCTTAAGAGAATGGAACTCATAAACACAAAAAATATTAAATTGATAGGAATGCATGTATGACTGAATTAAAATGAATTTTCTCTTGTAGTTTTCAAGTGCCTTGAGATGTATTCTTCTGTTGTGATTCAGTGCTATATATTGACCTAAAAGATAATATATATATATATATTTAGTTTTTTTTTGGTTTTGTTGTTTTTAGTACTTTTGTGTAAAAAGAAGCAGGCCGTATTTATGGCGTTTAAAGCGTGCCACAACCCGTGCACGCGCATTGGGTCCACAGCGCGCGTGTGAACGGGACTCGCGAGCGGAAATATACATGGCGAGAGGTCATTTGTGCACTGAGAGGGAGCAAACTGTGTCTGTGAGCGCACAAGGATGTGCACAAGTGACAAACCTGCGTGCGCGCGTTGTCAACGAGCACACGGCAGAGGAAAACGTGCGCGCGCGGCAGCCTCTGTGCGCGCTCGGCAGCCTCTCTGCGCGCTCGGTTTCTGACTCCTGCTCGCTCGGCTGTAAGGGTTTTGGCACTCTGGAGGCGTGGCCTGTGGCAGATCTCCTCTGTCCTCTGATTGGTTAGTGTACCCCGCACTTTACCCTCTACCTATCTATATAAAAAAGTCTGCTAGTCAAGTAGTCGCTGGCATAGCTCAGTTGGAAGAGCGGGTGACTCTCGCCCCGGAGGATCCAGGTTCGAGGCCGGGCAAGGAAAATGCAGTTGATGTCATGTTAATTTTTCTTAATTTCAGGTATTTTACAGTTGTGACCGTTCAACTGTCATTAAACGTCCGAATGTTTGCTGGGCAGTGTTTTAAAAAGTGCACATAAGCTAGATGGTTCTAACCATATAAAATTACATTTTTTGTGATACTGGAAAAATACATACTGAAATAAAACTACTGATTGAAAACTTTATGACTGTGGTTGTACAATATATGACTCACTAATACACTGCAAACTCCCTTAGAGTGGGGCTTCCAGAGAGAGAGAGAGAGAGAGAGAGAGAGAGAGAGAGACAGAGAGAGAGACAGAGAGAGAAAAGTTCTTGCCTCATTAATGAATTGTTTATTTTTTTCAGTATTTAATTGACAAATTATCCTTTCAAATAATTAATTGATGAGTTACATAATTGTCCATTTAGAATTGTTGAATGGACTGAGTCAAGTTTGGTGCACTTTATATATTTCAAAACATGTTTTTTTTTTAATTTTAATGATGCATATAAATAATTTAAATGTTAATTTAATGAAATATTTCTATTTTTTCATTACCTCACCCTTGTTTTGACAAAAACGGGACCTTGCTGGATAATATCATGGAGAAACTATTTGTTCACAGTACATGGCTCAGTGAGGATCTGTGTACCAAAGGAGGAGATACTCAGAAATCTGTCTGCAGATTGTTACAACCCAGACTGGAAGTGGTGGGCTGTAATAAGAAAGGAGACCAAACAGAGGAGTGGGGGTTCAACAACTGATTTATTTAACAAAAGTAAGGATTTACTAAAGCAAGTTAGTGAACAGAAAATGGCCATCTCAAGGTTTTACTCGGATGTCCCTCAGCAGGGTGCAGCACTGTTGAAGGTCATCTGAATGAAAGCTTGATATGCAGTTTCTTTATGAAAGTGTGTAAATATACAGTGTGGTTGCCGTACATATGTTGAGGTTCTCAGACATCAGGCTTCTTTGCCCAGGCCTTCACTAGTGGGCTATTTTAAAAGTTGGTAAGGAGAAAAACCACAGCATATAGCTGATTGTTTACAAATGCAAGGAGTGGAATAACAATCAAAATGCTTGTGTTCTTGGACCAGATGAATGGAGCGCTCCACATGCACTCAGAGATGTTATGGCTTCTGTTTCTATAACTTTACATGCAGACATTTGAGGTTTGCCAGAAAGGAAAGCTGGCCTGTACACTTTGCAGGGCACAATGTAATCAATGAAGAAACCCCTGTCTACCAAGATGACCATCTCTAGTTGTAGCATTTTCAACACACCAGATTCCCAGGTTGGTCACTGATAGTTCCAGCATACAGTGCTGAGACAAAGGTCACTGGCCTATGTGGCACAATCCAAATGAGCCTCTTCAGAGTGCAGTTGAACTTGAGGAAAATATATGACTCTGGAAGAGAGGGGAATATGGCCATTGACAACTCAGATTAGTGCAGTCAAGAATTACTGGTGTTTGGGTAGTCCTGAACGTGTTGTGATGCCCCCACCGTCTCATTGGGTTTTCATTTGTGTTTAATTGTGTTTTTCTTCTGTTGTAGGCAGCTGGTTAAGCAGCCTTGGAGGCACCTGGGCTCAGGGTGTGGTGCTGCCTACAAAGCCTACTGTTTTTCTGCTTTCACTGGGTCTCTCCTGTGTGGTGGAGAGTCCTCAATGGCCATTTTCTGTTCACTAACTTGCTTTAGTAAATCTTTACTTTTGTTAAATAAATCAGTTGTTGAACCCCCACTCCTCTGTTTGGTCTCCTTTCTTATTACAGCCTGCCACTTCCAGTCTGAGTTGTAACAATCTGCAGACAGATTTCTGAGTATCTCCTCCTTTGGTACACAGATCCTTACGGAGCCATGTACTGTGAACAAATAGTTTCTCCATGATATTATCCAGCAAGGTCCCGTTTTTGTCAAAACAAGGGTGAGGTAATGAAAAAATAGAAATATTTCATTAAATTAACATTTAAATTATTTATATGCATCATTAAAATTAAAAAAAAAACATGTTTTGAAATATATAAAGTGCACCAAACTTGACTCAGTCCATTCAACAATTCTAAATGGACAATTATGTAACTCATCAATTAATTATTTGAAAGGATAATTTGTCAATTAAATACTGAAAAAAATAAACAATTCATTAATGAGGCAAGAACTTTTCTCTCTCTGTCTCTCTCTCTCTCTCTCTCTCTCTCTCTCTCTCTCTCTCTCTCTCTCTCTCTCTCTCTCTCTCTCTCTCTGGAAGCCCCACTCTAAGGGAGTTTGCAGTGTATTAGTGAGTCATATATTGTACAACCACAGTCATAAAGTTTTCAATCAGTAGTTTTATTTCAGTATGTATTTTTCCAGTATCACAAAAAATGTAATTTTATATGGTTAAAACCATCTAGCTTATGTGCACTTTTTAAAACACTGCCCAGCAAACATTCGGACGTTTAATGACAGTTGAACGGTCACAACTGTAAAATACCTGAAATTAAGAAAAATTAACATGACATCAACTGCATTTTCCTTGCCCGGCCTTGAACCTGGATCCTCCGAGGCGAGAGTCACCCGCTCTTCCAACTGAGCTATGCCAGCGACTACTAGACTAGCAGACTTTTTTATATAGATAGTTAGAGGGTAAAGTGCGGGGTACACTAACCAATCAGAGGACAGAGGAGATCTGCCACAGGCCACGCCTCCAGAGTGCCAAAACCCTTACAGCCGAGCGAGCAGGAGTCAGAAACCGAGCGCGCAGAGAGGCTGCCGAGCGCGCACAGAGGCTGCCGCGCGCGCACGTTTTCCTCTGCCGTGTGCTCGTTGACAACGCGCGCACGCAGGTTTGTCACTTGTGCACATCCTTGTGCGCTCACAGACACAGTTTGCTCCCTCTCAGTGCACAAATGACCTCTCGCCATGTATATTTCCGCTCGCGAGTCCCGTTCACACGCGCGCTGCCATGTATATTTTCGCTCGCGAGTCCCGTTCACACGCGCGCTGTGGACCCAATGCGCGTGCACGGGTTTTGACACGGGTATGACGCGATACGTATTTAGTATTCAGAAACGTTACATGCAAACTGCCAATGACCTGAGGTGTTTGTCTTACAGTATTATTCTGTTTTTTATAAAAGTTTTAAATGTGCTATGTTATTGAACTCATCATAGAGTTCCAATGTTCCTTGAATGCACCACAAGTGGTGCGAGAAGCCATGTGTGAGTGCGACGCTGCCTGCCAGTGCCAGCCGAGCTCAGCTGCCGAAATGCGGCAGGATGGCGGAAGGAGTGGTTGCCCTTTATGTAAATCCGGTGGCTATCTCAAATAATGGACTTGTGAAAACCCATAAAAGGTTTGATTGGTCAATGGGGGTAGCGTGATCATGCTGCACGCACATGCGCAGATCATTTTCTTTCTGATCCTCTGGAAGGAAGGACGGTCCTGTCGCTTCAGATGCATCGCTAATCTGCAGGTAAAGTTGGCTACAAAGTTGTAGTCAAAGTAGCTGAGGAGGGTCAGAAATGTTGCCAGATTTGTCTCTAGGCGCTTTTCTAAAAAAAAGTCATTAAGGGGGTCTGAAAAGTCGTTAGAAATGGTGACAAAGTCGCCAAGTTGGCAACATTGCTCATACCACATCTGTTACCAAAGATCTTCGCACTCTGGAGCAGAGCTACATAAAAATGAGTGACTGTTCTCAGGCCCTGTCCACACGTAGCCGGGGATCTGCCAAAACGTAGATATTTTTCTACGTTTTGGCCTGCCATCCACACGAAAACGGAGTTTTTTCACACGAAAACGGATCTTTTTAAAAACTCCGGCCAAAGTGAAGATCTGCATTTTCTCAGTTTTGGGTGTCTGCGTGTGGACGGACAAAACCGGAGTTTTAAGGTCCGCAACGTCACTTTCCGCGACAAAAAATGCTGACATCACGTGTGCGACCTGTGTTTACACTAGCTGACAGCATGGATGCCCTCAGAGCCGCGCTCGCTTTATCAATCGTCCAAGCGCTTTTTGCTTGTTTGTTTTTGCAAGTGGAATTACTGCTCCTTGCGGAAGACCACAGACGAAGGACGAGGTTAAGAACGGGGGAAGTACTGCCGCCTACAGGTCTGGCATGTCCTTAACAACGTATTTATCCGGGTACGTGTGGACAGAGCTTCTTTTTAAAACGCGGTGGTGTGGATGCAAGTTTTTGGAGGGGCGGATATTCGTTTTTAAAAAACCCCGGCTACGTGTGGACTAGGTCTCAGTCTAGTTCAAGTTAACCCTACTAGATTTAAATTGTTGAAACTGGAATTCTTTATTTTCTTTAAAAAGTTTAGCTTTTCACCCAAGGAGCTTTGTCAAGGCTTAGGGTTAGCAAGTCTGGGCCTAATAGAAAGGAAATTCTCAGTCAGATACTTTATTTGGTACACCTGATCAATTGCTTGTTACAAACAGTTATATTCCAAACAAATGGCACAAACTCAGTTATATACACATTTTTACCTGGTGATAAAAAGCGCTGAAGTTCAAATTGATCACAAGAAAGGAGAATGAGGTGATTTTAAACTTAACATGTTCATTTCTCTGGGATTTTCACCCAAATTCATACCTAGGTTTAAAGGATACACTAGGCTTTTTTTTTTTGCTCTTAGCAACCCCTAGTGTCCGTTTAGTAGAGCCAAAAGCAAAACCTATCTCCTTGCTGTGCGTTTGTCTTTTTAACACCTTAATCTAACAGCTGAAATATCTCCCTAGCCTTCATTAGTGCCTACAGGTGCGGTTCATCACTAAAACAAACAAATCAGCTGTGTTCATGATCTAAAACATACAGGAAGCATGCTGGAAGCAGCACCAGGAATGTCAGCTCCATTTTTTTATTCTAACAGACCAGACTGGCACTCTGAAGTTGCAAATGCAGTTTTCTGGTCACAGAGGGGGGTAGGGGGTCTGAGTGACATTTCATTAACCCTGTAAAGGATCATTTTAGCACATACCATCTCAAGAAAATTATTTACAATATGAAAAATGTGCAATGTATGGCTTTAAAGAAAATGACCAGCACGTGTGTGGATAGAAAAATGTCTTGTTGATGTCAGGGCAGATTGGGCGGAGTTGTTCTAGATCAGGCATGTCCAAATTGTGCGACAGGGGCCATTGGTGGCCCTTGGAGTGACGTTATGTGGCCCCCATTTGCAATTCCAGATGAGAGATGTTATGTGGCCCCCATTTGCAATTCCAGATGAGAGAATTTTGTGTTTCCAGAAGGTGTTTGATGTACACTGAAGCTGTTAACATTTTTATGTTCAGCTTTTTACTGATTTAAGGCCTATTTTTGAGTCATACAAGTAAAAAAATATATAATAACATGGGTTTTTGTGGCCAGTGCAGACTTTTCACTTGAGTTAGGAATAGTTTGGACACCTTTGACCTAGAAGATTTTAGGTTCTAAATGCATCTGTAGCCTTAACAACCATCGCATTGGTTCCAACCAAGGTCTGCACAACACCTACTTTGAAACACATCAAATCAATCAATCAAAGATACTTTATTAATCCCAGTGGGAAATTAGAGTTTCAGTACACACAATTCAGAGATCAGACATACATGGGCAAGACACATGACAAGAATTGGTGACTGTGGTCATTCGCAACCCTGAGTCACGCTACCTTAACAGAGATAAGAGGGTTATATGAGGGTTGGTTCAGGGGGAGGGGAAAAAAGGCACTTCAGAGTTACCCTCCCACCAGGAGGGCAGCTTTGCTCTGCAAAAAAAACACTTCAAACATATATGCAACATACTTCAGACAACACAACATAAGTGTCCACTAGGTGGGGTGGTGGGTTGGGACTATCCCCACTTCAGTTCCTGCAGCCACGATAAGCAGCACATGTCACCTCAGTGTGGATAGGGGAAGGAGCATTGAGGGTTGGAGGGTTGCAGTGACCCTGGAACAATTATGCGGCATTCCCGCAGTACCGCCCAGGCTGGGAAAGGAGGCAGAGTTGAGTTGCCATAGCGATGGTACATTCCACATATCTTCTGAGAGGGGAGTTTCTGTTGGAGCCTTGCAGGCTCAAGGGCAACAGATTCCGATTAGAAATTGTTTTGGGGCCACACAGAGGTAATTTACTCTCTGTCTTAGTTCCTTGGTCCTCAACCTCTCAAAATCCCAATAATGAACATTAAACTATCCCAATCAGTGCTGATTCTTCCACTCTATCTTCGATGGCATCCATCTTTTGTGCCAATAATGAATCTTGGCCAAAGTTCCAAGCTTACGATTCATCTTGACAATTATTTGAGTCTGTGAAATCACAGCGCGGTGCAAACCATCTCTGAGCTCCGGGATCAGGCCAATATTCCTCGACAGCTCGTTAATTTTCCGGTAAGCCAGGTAGCCTCCAATGCCAATGAGCAGGAAACCTGACACCAACACCATGAATATCCACACGTCTTCAGAGTCCTCCACAGACAGCTGAGATAAACAAATCAAGTTTCACTGTTTCCGGTAGTCCATGATGTGTCCAACTGGGTCTGTCCCGGAGGGGCATCCGGGAGCCCCTTCTCCAGTTCTCATCGTTGAAAAAATTTTATCAATCGCATTGAGTGACCAACTGACGAGATCCATTTTAGTGATTTCAGTTTCCAGTTTCCAGAAAAAATGCAGAAGCAGCCGTGCACCCAGCACACAGAGACAGACAAAGGCCTGGAGGATAAGATATGAAGAGGAGGAAAAAAGTGTATGCACCCTCCGAGAGCATGTTGGGCCTTGAAGCTGATGGACAACGACAGCAGAGGACCACACCAAGCATCAATCATGTCAATTACAAACAGGAAACTGAGGCTACAATTCAGATCTTTACTGGATGTGTCTTCTGCGTCTGGCTTGAGGTTTCTAATCAAATTTGGTCTTAAAAATTGAAAACATTGTTTGACTTTAGAATCCAATATACTGTATCGTCTCCCCTGTCCTGTGAGATATGGGGTCTGTAGTTCTCCGTTTTTATTCTTTTCAACCGTCTTTTCCTAGAAATTAAAACATGTTTCTTTCCCATTTGCGATTTTTAGTCTCTTTGAATCAATATCTGAAAGTGGAGGACGTTGTTCCTCTGTTGGGGGTTTATGGATGAGTATCCATTCCTGATGGCTGAACATTTCTGTAACTAAATAATGAACAAGATTGCAATTTTTTTCTAATGCAGCTGATCATTCTGGCTGGTGCAAGCACATAAGGAACATGCAATTTGGGTTTTCCCACAGCCTTAACATGCTTATCATAATTTATTCAGTTTTAAATGAAAAGGTTTGATAAATGATCAAAGCCTATTAGCTCAGTACGGTTTACCACTGGTATTTAAACTCCTGAACTCTGAGTTCAGACCCCGTGTGATGGAGTAAAGATCTAGTTGCAACAATTCAGTAATGTCTACAAGGGTAAAGCCGCCTTAAATCCTCAAGTGTGGCTACATGGAGCAATGGGTTGGCCTCATTCCTTCACATCAAAGACCAAAGCTCCATAAGGACAGCCCCCCCACCCCCCCACCCCATCTACCCCATCCAATTTAATATCCAGGATTATATCAAATGAACCAGAAATGCTTTTAGTAAATAGTTTTGTCTTCTATCTACTGAAGGCATACATATCATTTACATCCTATATCAAAGCCAATAGCATAGTTATATTTTACATCACAAAAGAGTTTTCCCCTTGAACCGCACTCCACCTCTCCCAAAGTATTTCCTGGAATTCAGCTCAGCCGTTATTGTGTAATTTTGTTGAAAAACAGACAACAACCGCCGATGATTGCATTCCTGTCTCTCAGCTCGCACCTTGCCCGAGGAGCAGTTTTTGACACTGATAAGGGACACATTAAGAATATTTTTTTGTTCTCACAAACTGGAACATCAATGTAGTGTTGACCACTCAAACCATGCAAGATCTAAGAGGTACACAGCAACAGGAGAAACACAGATTTCATAAATGGCATCCACTCACCCAAACAGGGATTCATGCACTTAGGAGCAGAGTGTCACTATGGTAAGTTACCTCGTGCAATAACAGGAGCATGCACATAGGAGAGATCCTACACTAAACTAGATCCTCACACATCTAAATGAATATTGCACAATTCCAAATGCACTCAAACACAGATAAGGGCCAACTCAGGCATCTCTGGAATCAGGCAAAATGTCATTTCAGCTTTATCTGTCCCTGTCTGATAGCTCTGTCTCCTCTATCGCAAAACATGTCAAATGTCTCTTATCACCTCCTTGCTGTCTTGTTGCTCTCCTGCATCTTTTGCTCTTTTCCTTTTTTAAACCTGATCCTGATGTCTTTTTTCCCCTCAGCGTGGAGCTGCATCAGAGGCCACAGACAGCCTCCGATGCACCTTCCTGTCTCTGCAGCTGGTTTTGCTGAAACCCTCTGAGACAAAGTCTTTCTTTTCTGAAGCTAATGGCATCAGTAAGATTTGCAGAATGGTCTCTCTTTGTGGTGCAAGTGTATGAAGACTGGATATGAGTCAGAGGGATTTCACAACTCACTTCTTTTCATTTGCACAGACATGTACGACGGGGACGTCAAAGTCTCAAATTTCACAGAACTCTTGATCATTTGAGTAGAAAAACAGGCAGATAAGAAAAAAAAAATACACTGACCTTCAGAACCTCAACAGGGACCTGCATGCTCTGGTAATGCTGCGGGGCGCTGATGGCAGGTGTGGGTTCAGGTGGCGCCGCCATGCGATGCTGCATGTACTGCAACTGCAATGCCGCATTCTGCTCCTGATGCTGCCGCTCACGCTGTTCCTCCTGCTGCAGCTGGTCTCGCATCAGCTGGGACAAAGAACATCATAGGAATGTTTGATGACACAAAAACATATGAATTACCTGGTGATGATGATCAAGGACAATATTAAAATAGGCATGATGTGTGTATGTGTGTGTGTGTGTGTGTGTGTGTGTGTGGGGGGGGGGGGGGTTTAACCTGCATTCGCAGCCCAATGCGTGACGCCATTGCTGGGGGGCGGGGGGGCAGGGGAGGGCGAGCCGAAGTTAATGCACCACAGTCCAGCCCGAAAGGTTGAGGAATCTGTGGAGATAAAAAGTGAAAATTGTAAATCTGACTGCAGGTGGAAAAACAAAAACAGCAACATTTACTATTGCAGATCAGTTCTTTCATTAACTATGTTGTTAATGGGGTGGGAACAAACCTTTCCTTGTTCTGTTAAAAGGAAAGCAACCATTTAAATGTTTGACTGTTAATGAGAGCGTTAGTGTTAGGAAAACAAGTCCTAATGTGTTCTTTTCAGTGAGTTTAACAAACAAAATCTATCCAACAGCCCCATCTCCTTCAACTGGCCTTGCCTTTCACCAGGCCACACTTCATTTATGTCTAAAGATTAAAATACATAGAACTAAACAGTGTCCATTAGTTTCTAATTGAAATGCTGCAATTTTTTAGTTCACATATGATTTTAAAACTTACATTTCCTTTCTAAACACTTGTGATTATAGAAGCCAATGCGCCCCGCTGTGGCTAACTGAGAAGCCACTACTCAACAAACCATTTTTACTATAACAATTTCTTTTTTTGTGCAATTTTAAACACACAGATTCAGTCTGAATGCTCTCTGCAGATTGGACTCAAGGTTATAAATAAATAAACGACATTGACAAAATAATCGGATGTTTGAAATAAGTTAATACCTCACACTTTGTTATGAAAATTCATTTAAAACTGAAATAATGTTACATTTTTTATTGTTGTGAACGTTAAAGGGTTAAATTAAAGTTGCTGCAGTTTATAAATTCTGTCTTTTATTTCACAGTAAATTATTGCACCTAGGCTGATGAAAAAAATTAAATTAGTACAACAAAAAGTTCTTTGGCAGAAGAAGTCATCAGCTCCTAGAAGACCCGTATCAAATTATTGAAGTGATCTGACACTATAGGAAAATATTCCATTTACCTTCACGTAACAGTCGTTATCATGTTTTAAATGTCATCCACTAAAAACATTGTTCTTTTTCTTAAAAGATGCAATAATTACAGAGTTTGGTTTTCTTTTCTTTGAATAATAAAATGTGCACATATGTTCATGGACTAAGAAGAAGTAACTACCAAGTAAACATCTTTGCGTCTCACAGACTAACCACCAAGCCGAGGTGAAGAGAGGAGGACTTCCTCTGTAATGTCAGAGAGGTCATGCGGGAGTCACGTTATTTTGTTGTCCTGAGTTGATCATGTGAGCAGAAGGGGAATGGAAACACCCATCATCCCTTCAGCAACATCTCCTTTTTCTTTCTTTTCACGCTCAGACGCTGTCCCGGGACAGACGGTTCCCCTTCTGCAATGACTTGTGCTCTTCCCTGCATGACTAAGCCGGTCTGGATTCAGAGGTGTGGTGGAACCGGGTCGAGGTGTCTGTTGTGATTTGTGGTCGGATGACAGAGCTTCAGTAAGACTCTGATTCGTCCACGCTGTCTGTATTCGCTCGTAAGGAGGAAAAGACAAGAGGAAGAGAGAAAAGCTCATTGTGCACGAGGTACAATAAGAAGAGCAGCTCCTATTGAGAGGGACTGAAGCCGCCTGTTGTCCGAAGTGTACATTTCAGCGCCTGAAGGGGCAAACACTGCCCGCTTTGTGCCCATGTAGATGGCCTACATAAAAATCATACACCCATGCAGAGATGCACATAGATACACAACACAAACTTGAACCAGAGTGTAGAATCCCTTTTTCTTTTTTCTTTTTGCATTTTGCAGCTGAACTGCATTAAAATAAAGTGATCGTCCTCTTCAGAAATAGTGAAAACGGTTTAAAAGACAATCTACATTTATTCATGATGAAATTATGAAAATTTGTTACCAAGCTAATCCTAAACAAAATCAGATTATAATTCTTTGAGTATGCTTTAAATCTGCAGACTGCCTCCAAATGTACTTTCCACATAGAAGATTGAAACATGCAGCATTAAATGTTTGCTGGGTGTGGTGTCTCCCCTGTAAGAAAACAGTAAACAGCAGCAGAAGCTGCTGCTCCAAACATGGCAGCCCTTTCATGTTTGGCTAAAATTAAGACAGCACAAAATTTGATTCTGCTAGCTTTCATGTACATTTAAACTATTACAGAAGAATTCAGTTCATCTTAGAGTTTCTTGGAAATACCAGCGAGGACAACGATCTGAAGTCTTAATGTTTTCAGACAGCTGATTACCTAATTAGGCACAAAAACAACCAATTCTGCAGCTAAACTAACCTCTAAGATCTGGTGTTAAAAATCATGGAGCTCGTGGAGCTGGGGGCCTGCAGAGACACGAACCCCTTCTAGCTCAAAGATCACGTCCCACTGCTCCTCAAGTCTTGTGGTCAGTGCATGAGGGTTACTGTCATGTTTCTAATGTTGTTGATAGCAACAGAAAGCAAAAACATTTCATTGTGATACTTCCCCAACATGCAATGTTGCACAATATATTCTTCCACTTCTTGTTCTGAACTGACACACTAATTGCTGATTTTGCCAATAATTAGAAATGAACACATTTTGGTGTGGCAGAGAGAGAGAATGGGGAGGAGGTATAGATAAGAAAATATGTCAAGTCATTCTCATTCCATTTATTTTACATCACAAGATCTAAATTATAATTTTGAAAAAATATGTCAAACTATATGTGAAGACACCTGAGTTTTATGGGATTACTAAATGCTGCTAAAATCCTATAAAGGTGAGAATTTTAAAGCCAGCTTGCTTTTTTTATAATTATTGACCCTTTGCCCCTACGTCACCTGAAGACATATATATCGTTATCACACGTTTCAGAATATATCGAGATATAGATTTTAGACCGTATCGCCCATTCCAACGCTGTGGGGTCACAAAACTCTTAAGTTCACATGCCAAGACTTTAAAATAGTCAGATGATTTTGAATGCATGAGCGACCACACATGTGGTGATTAAAAAAAAGTCACAGATATAGCAGGTGCTCATCATATAATGTGGGGTGTGCAGCAACTTGACAGAAACTACATGAACCGCTTTCACCCACAGACATTTGCAGCTCAGACGGGACATCTCGCGAGATAAAACGTGACTTCATCATAAACAAACATAGCATGCTGCGTGCTCCTCTGACTTTGCATTCTGATTGACTAAACATCACATTCAACAGGCAGCACACTAGTTTTCCCCCTGACTATCAGACCAAGACAATCCAACACGTTTCAAACCCAAATTTATAATCGGAGCGATTGTGCACTTACAAGCAGACCAGAGCAGTCGCAACACACCACACATAATAAGATTTTCTTTAACCCTCCCACTGTCCTAATGGGTGTGACCCCGCGAGGAAAGTTGACCATTGAGCAGGATTGGTTTATCCCTTGAGGTCCAAGTGGAAGGGGGGAGGAGTGAGCACCACCCCACATATGTCAGACACAAGGCCATTTTTATGTGGCCCGCGAGATAAATATCAAAAATATATTAAAACTGGCCCGCTGGACGATTTTACAGCAAAGACTTCAACTCCCATGATGCTTTGCAGCGTCAGCGCGGAGCCGACGCGCCCCCTCCTTTGTGTTTTTTCCAGCGTCAGCTGCCGGTGTCTGCAGCTCCGCTGTCTCGGACAAACTAAACACTCCTCTCACTGAGCGCCGAGTTCACTCAGCTATTTTCTGACGTTGAAGCCCAGAAACGGAGATTCTAGCCGCTCAGTAATGTGTTCACGACTGAAAGAGAACGTTTTCCAACTAACGTCCAGACAGAGCTGATATAACTCCAGCGAGCAGCGACACGCTCAAACCAGCACGGCTCTGTGGTTGCTGTCGTTGTGTTTCCTCCCCGACACATAACAACGTGGTCAAGCTGCTCAGACATGTTCATCAGCACAAACCTATGTGAGCACCTGTTGTCATCTAATGTTGTCATTATTATGATGAAGATGAACAAAACAGGAGTCTCCTCCTCAGCTCAGATCAACCCCATGATGCAGGTATCTGGCTGGAACAGGTGAGCATCACAGTAAACCAGTGGAGCAAACTGAGCTTTAAATATGTTGGTTTTATGCTCTTTTTCTGCTCCAAAACATGAAAGTTAACAGGTGAGATGTTGCATTTTCATTTAAGATAAAATGATATTTTTATTTTGTTGTTGGCCCGTGAGAAAAGATTTAACCTACAGTAAACAGGAAGTGGAAAGGCTGCAGATAGATGAATAGAATAGAAAATCACTTTATTGTTCCTCAGAGGGGAAAGCTAGACGTCACAGCAGCGATGACACTTATTACAGGAGAAAAAAAGGAGAATAAAAAATAAGAAAAATGAATGAACAAGAAAACATAAATCCTGAATAGATTTTTAAAATGCTGATTATACCACAAGTAATGAATACCACTGATGCCTTTTATTTAAAACTGACTTGCTCGTGTGTCACTTGGTTATGCCACATTCAGTGTTAATGCAGAAATGTTTGTTTCCTAATTTAAAGGTTCAAATTTGCATAAATGTTGATAAAGAAAATGTGCAAATTTGCCGTCACTTTTTCAAAAAATATTAAGTTTGGCCCTCAACTCCTTCCCAGAGTTTCATTTCGGCCCCGTTTGAGTTTGACACCCCTGCACTACATGATTCAACCAGTGGTTGGTGTCAATAGCATTTGGCATTATTGGATATTTTGGGGGGGGGGTCAGAAGCTGAAGAGTTCAGAAACCACTACTATACTATTTATGCTTCAACGACTTGGCCATTGAACCATACCTGGCACTAACCGATATATCTTGTGCTTCTTTAATTTAAAACCTTGTTTTACCAATTGCAGCAACACACCGTTTTTAAAATTAAATTCGTGTATGAGGTAGAGCTTTCAGTGTTTACATTTGACATCACTTTCCAATCGAGTAGCTGTAAAACAGCATTCAGTTTCCTTCTATGACTAAGCCAAGATGCATAGTCTATCTGATGTATTACATTACACATCCATAGACTGGACAGAACTTCCTGATATCATTGGGTGACACACTGTCACCAAACAGCTTGATCCCCATACATGGGCCTTCATCCACTGAGGACATTAGTGACGTAGTAGGAGCACACAGC